TTATTATTATTATTATTATTATTATTATTATTATTATTATTATTATTATTATTATTATTATTATTATTATTATTATTATTATTATTATTATTATTATTATTATTATTATTATTATTATTATTATTATTATTATTATTATTATTATTATTATTATTATTATTATTATTATTATTATTATTATTATTATTATTATTATTATTATTATTATTATTATTATTATTATTATTATTATTATTATTATTATTATTATTATTATTATTATTATTATTATTATTATTATTATTATTATTATTATTATTATTATTATTATTATTATTATTATTATTATTATTATTATTATTATTATTATTATTATTATTATTATTATTATTATTATTATTATTATTATTATTATTATTATTATTATTATTATTATTATTATTATTATTATTATTATTATTATTATTATTATTATTATTATTATTATTATTATTATTATTATTATTATTATTATTATTATTATTATTATTATTATTATTATTATTATTATTATTATTATTATTATTATTATTATTATTATTATTATTATTATTATTATTATTATTATTATTATTATTATTATTATTATTATTATTATTATTATTATTATTATTATTATTATTATTATTATTATTATTATTATTATTATTATTATTATTATTATTATTATTATTATTATTATTATTATTATTATTATTATTATTATTATTATTATTATTATTATTATTATTATTATTATTATTATTATTATTATTATTATTATTATTATTATTATTATTATTATTATTATTATTATTATTATTATTATTATTATTATTATTATTATTATTATTATTATTATTATTATTATTATTATTATTATTATTATTATTATTATTATTATTATTATTATTATTATTATTATTATTATTATTATTATTATTATTATTATTATTATTATTATTATTATTATTATTATTATTATTATTATTATTATTATTATTATTATTATTATTATTATTATTATTATTATTATTATTATTATTATTATTATTATTATTATTATTATTATTATTATTATTATTATTATTATTATTATTATTATTATTATTATTATTATTATTATTATTATTATTATTATTATTATTATTATTATTATTATTATTATTATTATTATTATTATTATTATTATTATTATTATTATTATTATTATTATTATTATTATTATTATTATTATTATTATTATTATTATTATTATTATTATTATTATTATTATTATTATTATTATTATTATTATTATTATTATTATTATTATTATTATTATTATTATTATTATTATTATTATTATTATTATTATTATTATTATTATTATTATTATTATTATTATTATTATTATTATTATTATTATTATTATTATTATTATTATTATTATTATTATTATTATTATTATTATTATTATTATTATTATTATTATTATTATTATTATTATTATTATTATTATTATTATTATTATTATTATTATTATTATTATTATTATTATTATTATTATTATTATTATTATTATTATTATTATTATTATTATTATTATTATTATTATTATTATTATTATTATTATTATTATTATTATTATTATTATTATTATTATTATTATTATTATTATTATTATTATTATTATTATTATTATTATTATTATTATTATTATTATTATTATTATTATTATTATTATTATTATTATTATTATTATTATTATTATTATTATTATTATTATTATTATTATTATTATTATTATTATTATTATTATTATTATTATTATTATTATTATTATTATTATTATTATTATTATTATTATTATTATTATTATTATTATTATTATTATTATTATTATTATTATTATTATTATTATTATTATTATTATTATTATTATTATTATTATTATTATTATTATTATTATTATTATTATTATTATTATTATTATTATTATTATTATTATTATTATTATTATTATTATTATTATTATTATTATTATTATTATTATTATTATTATTATTATTATTATTATTATTATTATTATTATTATTATTATTATTATTATTATTATTATTATTATTATTATTATTATTATTATTATTATTATTATTATTATTATTATTATTATTATTATTATTATTATTATTATTATTATTATTATTATTATTATTATTATTATTATTATTATTATTATTATTATTATTATTATTATTATTATTATTATTATTATTATTATTATTATTATTATTATTATTATTATTATTATTATTATTATTATTATTATTATTATTATTATTATTATTATATCGTGTGCGTGTGCGTGTGCGTGTGCGTGTGCGTGTACGTGTACGTGTACGTGTGCGTGTGCTTGTGTGCGTGTGCTTGTGCGTGTACGTGTGTGCGTGAGCGTGTATATACATATATACACATACATATACATATACTCTCCCCTCTGTGTCTCTCCACCCTTTTCCCATTTATGATTCTTTCTCTATCTCCCTCCCTCATCCTCCCTTCTTTTGTCCCCCCCCCCTTACTATTGAATTAATCCTCTCCATCGACCTATACATTCAGCCCACACCATTTGCAGCTGCAATTAATAAAACAGACTGGGTGTCCGACAGTGATTATCTTTATGTCGGTCTTAATGTGTTTTTTGTTTGTTTGTTTGTTTTCTTGTTTTGTCCTTTGTTGTGTTTATAATCTGTTTTTTTGTTTTTTGTCTTTCTTTGCTGTGTTTATTATCTGTTTTCTTGTTTTGTTTTCTCTTTCTTTGCTGTGTTTATTATCTGTTTTCTTGTTTTGTCTTTTTCTTTTGTTCTGGTGGTTTCGTTTGTTTTGATGATGAGGGAAGGTATTTTGATTATGATAATGGTATTATGGGGATTCAATATGATGAAGATACTGACAACCGCAAATCCGGATGAGGATGATGATAGTAATAATAAAAATAATAAGAATGATAGCAGTAGTTATATTAATAATAGTAATAATAAAATTATTATCATTATCATAATAACAATAATAATAAAATAATAATAATAACAATAGTAATGATAATAATAGTAATGGTGATGATAATAATAACAATAATAATAACAATAATAATAATAATAATAAGTTCCAATTTTTCAAACGAGATACCGAATGCGGAAGAGTGTACAAAATTCTGGGGTGATATTTGGAGTGTGGAGAAGGAGCACAATAGAACTGCTGTATGGCTGAAAGAGTTGAAGAAAGAAATAGATCGTGATATGAAACACACGCAAGAGACGGTGAAAATTAGCACAGAGAAAGTTAAAATGTAAAGTAGGAAACTTCCGAATTGGAAAGCACCAGGACCAGATGGAGTACAGGGATATTGGCTAACACACTTCACCGCTCTTCATGAAGGAATCGCATCCCAACTTGATGGTATGTTAACAGAGGAGGAGGTCCTTCACTGGACAACACATGGTCGAACAGTGCGTTGACAAAAAGATCCACAGAAAGGCCTGCCATTAATGTGGAAACTTTTAATGGGCATTGTAGCAGATGGAATGTACCAATATCTAGAACAGAGCAATATATTACCAGATGAACAGAAAGGATGTAGGCGAAGAAGTAGGGGCACCATAGATCAACTGCTCATAGACAGAACCATATTCAGAGATTGTAAGAAAAGGCTTACGAATCTGTCCATGTCTTGGATAGATTACCGAAAAGCTTATGATCTGGTCCCGTATAGTTGGATAAGCGAATGTATGATGTTTGGGATAGCGGAGAATGTAAGGAACTTTCTTGGAAGAAGCATGAAACAGTGGAAGGTATCACTGACATCGAACGGGGAGAATCTTGGAGAGGTTTTTGCGAGGAGGGGGATTTTCCAGAGAGATAGTCTATCGCCACTATTATTTGTCCTTAGTATAATACCATTGTCATTGATATTACGGAAAGCGACGGCGGCTTATGAATGGGGAGAGAAGGGATACAAGGTTAATCATTTATTGTTTATGGACGACCTGAAGCTATACGCCAAGACTGAAGATCAGATGAGTATGCTAGTTAGAACCGTTCACATGTTCAGCAATGACATTGGTATGGACTTTGGGATGAGAGAGTGCGGCGTTTTGACATTGAAACGAGGAAAGATTGTCAGAAGTGAAGGAAGCTAGCTGATGGACAAACAATGAAAGAGGTTCAGGAGGAAGGTTACACTTATCTAGGTATTGTGGAATTAGATAAAATCAAAGAAGCTGAAATGAAAGATACAATTGGAAAGAAATACAAAGGAAGGTTAAGGTTGGTACTAAGATCAATGTTGAATGGGAAAAATAAGGTGTCAGCGTTCAACACATGGCCATATTCCGGTATGGAGCGGGAATAATGCAATGGAGAGAAAACGAGCTTAAAGATTTAGACAGACAAACAAGGAAAACAATGGCAATGTATAGAGCTTTCCATCCGAAGAGTGATGTTGCCAGGCTGCATGTGAAAAGAAGAGATGGGGGAAGAGGTCTTATAAGTATAGAACGATGTGTCAAAGAGGAGGAGAGTAGTTTGAAAGTGTACGTGTCCAAATCTGAAGAGAAATGTTAAAGGGTGTAGTAAATTTCGAGGAATTAAATG